TTGTATTTACCTTTAAGAGTACGCTATGCCCGCATGTGTTATTGTCTCCGTCTTACAACTACGTAACATAGCAAACTTTATAATGTTAACTTTAATTTTTATAAGAGGTCAATTCACTCTAAATTTTAAACTCGCGCAGCTAAACGTGATCTGCTGAGCGTTAAATTTGCGATGTTACGMACTTGTAAGACGGAGACAATACGTGTGGGTATGACGACCTCTTAAAAAATCTTGTTATAAGCAAGTGTAAACGATAATATAAACTAAATTTTAACTAAAATTAAGACGTCTATGGACTATGATGTAAGATCCCCTTTTACATCCATTCGTGTACATTGTGACATGGGCTGGTCAACTAGATGGCAGTGTTGCTTTCTTTCTATATCGATTCTTGACAAATATTAAATTACCGATTTCGTCAAGTCAGGCGTGGCGATAACTGTAAACTGGACGTCTGGACGTAGCCCACTAACCACTGTTCAGTTGTTAGTTGTTATTAGTCAATACTCACAGTAGCTGCTCAGACGCTCAGTAATCACTTCTCGGACTTAYTCATTAGCCTGCACTCTGCAGTAGGTAGTACCCAGTCAACAGAACATTTTAAGACAATGCCTTTGGCCAACATAACTCGCGTTGAAAAGTTTAGTTCTTGTCATCGGCTCCACAGGTACTCATACTCGTATTATTCGTTATCCAATAATATACAATTCATGAATCTTGAAAATAGATTTAAAAATAAATTATTCGTATTTTAAATGTTTGATCTTTCTTTTTTTTTAATTAAATTAAAATAGGCAATAGGGATGTATCATATATTTTAGGATCAAGCACCTAGCTAATTCTTTATTTAACAAAATAATGTAGAAAAATATATTTTTTTGTTTTGGTGAATATATCTAATAGTAAATATTATGAAGTAATAAATTATAAACAAATTATTATAATATATATTACAGCAACAATTTAAGTGATGAAGAAAATGTAAAAACTTTTGGGAAATGTAACAATAAAAATGGACACGGACATAATTATAAAGGTATTTAAAATGTTATTTTTACTATATAAATTATCTTCTGAATTTTTAAAACAGGAGACTATTAAAATACAAATTTTAAAAATTATAACATTTTGTATAGGTACATTAGCAGTGTAGTTTATGTGCCTACCATCATAATATATACCAATCTATATATTTTATTAAATATAACCTTTTTGTATTTAATTATTAAATAATAAGTTTTGGTAATGAAATTATTAATTATTACCCATGGTTAAATTTTCAGTCGAAGTTACAGTTAAGGGTCTAATCGATGAAAACACCGGCATGGTTATGAACGTATCTGACCTAAAAAAATATATTGACATTGCTGTAATGGAGCCATTGGATCATAAAAATCTGGATATGGATGTACCTTACTTTAAACATCGTGTTAGTACGACTGAGAATGTAGCAATTTTTATATGGCAAAGTTTAAAAGATGTTATGCATAATCCTAATTTGTTGTATAAAGTTAAATTATTTGAAACTGATAAAAATATTGTTGTTTATAAAGGTGAATAATTTATTATATTTGAGTAAATACTTACCTCCTGGTTGTTGTAATAAGAATTGTATTTTTATAAAATTTAAGTTTTTATAGTTTAATATGAGTGTTTTTTATAAATATCAAAAACAATAAAAATGTAATAGTATAAATTGTTTATATATTCTATTTTTTTAGATCACGTACGATAAAATGTATTTACATTTTATATGATAATTTACTTATAAACTTATAACCAAAATAAAATATGATGATCAAAAAATAAGCTATTACATTATATTGTATTAGAAATAAAAAATAAGATTAGTATTAAAAAAAAAAAACCATTCCATTAGATTTCTAGAATTTCTCAAAAATTACTTATAGAAAATAAAACTGAATGTTTTACCTGCAAGACCTTGATTACTTTTTTAGATTGGTTTATAATGCTAACTTAATATTATAATATAAATAAAAAACAAAAAAACAAATTCATATATTTATATATATAAATTAATGTATAACCTCAATTTATAAGTGCTTTTAGATTATGTATATAATAATATAGAAAAAAAAGATTGGTTTATAAAATTATAAACATAAAAGTAGAATATTTTATTGCAGTTGGTCTACATTACTAATGTTTTTTTAACATTTCGGATAAAGGGAGCGGTACATGCTCCTGTGTTCTTATAACCTTATCCATCTTRATAATTATAATGAAATAAATTATCAAACTTATATTTTAGGTCACACTATGWGAAATCCACAAAAATTTATATTTTGTACTAATGTAATCAATCATACCAATTCTATTACAGTTAATAAATATAATAAAATGTTATTTATTAAACAAATTCAATTTAGTACAAGAAAAAGATTTTTTTTCAAATTTTAATTTAATTTTTAAAGAAATGTTCAGTACACATTTTATTATTATGTTTATAAAAAACAATTTTTTTTGTAAGCATATGAAACTATTAAAAATTAATTGGAATTAATTAATCAGATAACTCTTCATTTTCAATTGTATAATTTGATGATACTTCTAATTCTTCATTCAATGTTTTCAAAATATCCACTGAAAAAATAATTAAGTYTTTATGAGAAACTATATATTAGTTAAATTAGGTAATAAAAAAATGCAGTGRCGCAACTAGGATCTATTTTCATGAGAGGTTATTTATATATAAAAAAGGTCTAGACTTTGAAATATTTGACTTTGAAAAACATTTTGGGAGAATCACAACCCCCACCCCTCCMCCGGTTGCACAACTGTACAAATGTCATCAACAAARTATTATGATCGTTATAAATTCATTTAACTTTTGTATACATTATATATTTATAATCATGGCTCTCGTAAATAGTAATTATGTGCATAAAATGTTATATTAGGCGACATGGAAACTAATATCATAGTTACAGAATTTTGTAAATAAATGAATATTTCAARATATTTGTCCTATTTGGTAATGAGTTATCATGATTTTTTTTTTGTTTTTACTGTGCATTTAATAACTAAAATGTTTTTAATTTTTAATAGTTTAAGTTAAGTCATTGATATGAGTTAATAAAACTACTGTATTATTTCTCCTTAATATACATTATACAGGAAAATAATTATTTAATAAGAGTGAACATTGTACTTAAAACTGTTAGTATTTTTTCAATTTAAATCATTTGCAGACAATGATTTTTACATACTATATTAGCTATTAGGTATATAAATCTATTTTGTATTAAGTGTTCTACYGTTTTCATTTTTATTTTATATATCAATACATATTATAAATAATAATAAAGTTATTATCAGTGCTTATAAGTTCATGTATTAAAAACCCTTGAAAACATAATGAAAACAAAATTATACCAGTTTATTTTTTAATTTATAAACAAAACTAAATCTCTTATCCTAATATATTTTTAAATGGTAATGAACAAATACATATTTTTCTGTTCAGGCGCACTAACATGTGAGCTCTGATAATAACGCTATTTTTGTTACATTGTGTAATAAGTATTGTTATAGAAAATTAAAATTAAAATAGTATACAAAATAAAAAAATACATACCCGAAACCCGATAGCTAATATAATATGTAAAAAATATTGTCAACAAGGTTATATTGAAAAACAACCATGTTAGCTTAAGAGTAATTTACAATGTTCACTCTTCTATAACTAATGAGATGGTACAGGCACTAAAAGATTAAATTTAAATTTAATSTATCCTGTGGTACAGGATTGTACATGTATGGTATTGTTCAAATAGCAGTGAGTCAAACAAAAAATGGCAATGTTTCATAAAGTTAGTTAAATTAAAATAACTTAAAGAAAAAATGTAGTATACAATTCTGAATATTACTTATACACRATGATAATTAATTAAGAAATACACTAAAATTAAGTTGACAGAAACATAAAAAAAAAATACATTGACAAATGTTTTACTTTTTGATAAAATTTTCCTTTAACAAAATAATTAAGCATATCATTTATATTAAGGAGRAAGAATATTTAGGTGTTATCTCCACATATAATATGTTTAGTAAAAATTATTGATTAATTATTTTAAAGCAATTACCTTCTTTATTATCCTGAGCAATYATTTTTCTTAATTTTTCTTTTCTACGTTTCATTTTTTCACGCTTCTTTTTCTTTTTTATCTCTTCATTTTGAGGGCAGCTAAATAAATCTTTTTTTGCTGAATTTGGAATTGATTTATCTTCTTTAATTAAATTAAAAAATATTCCTCCAGATGTTCGTCTACGGTTACCATTCTAAAATAAAATTATAATATTTGAACTAMAATTCTTAACATCAAATTTAATAATATTCTATTAATTCAATAATTGTCTAACCTTAATCATTTGGCCACCATTCGCTTCTATTAAACAAGTTTTCTTATACTTTTCAAGAATGATTTTCCTATCTATCTTGGATATCACAGATACTACAAAACAAAAA